TGTGTTTGTTTATGTGTTTATGTGTTTGTTTATGTGATTGTTTATTTGTTTTGTTTTTTTGTTTGTTTTTGATTTGTTTGTTTTATGTGTTTGTTTTTATTTGTCCGTATATGTGTTTGTTTGTTTGTTTGTGTTTATTAGTTTGATTGTGTGTTTGTTTGTTTATGTGTTTGTTTGTTTATGTGATTGTTTATTTTTGATTTATGTGTTTGTTTTTAATTTGTTTGTTTGTTTATGTGCTTGTTTGTTTGCAGCTGGAGACAGGAACAGCGTGGGCAGCACCGGCAGCGTGGGCAGCACTCGTAGCGCTGGCAGCGGGCAGAGCACCGAGAGCAACAGCGCCACCAACGGACACCAACACAACACCAGTCACCATGACAACAAGGTCCAGTTTAAATCTGTTCAGACACAATGTAAACAACAACAACAACAAACGTCTCAGAGCTCCATCTTGTTGTTGATGTTGTTGATGTTGATGATGTTGTTGATGTTGTTGATGTTGATGTTTATGTTGATGTTGTTGTTGATGTTGATGTTGTTGATGATGATGATGTTGTTGTTGTTGTTGTTGTTGATGTTGTTGATGATGTTGTTGATGTTGTTGTTGTTGATGATGATGATGTTGATGTTGTTGATGATGTTGTTGATGTTGTTGTTTATGTTGATGTTGTTGTTGATGTTGATGTTGTTGATGATGATGATGTTGTTGTTGTTGTTGATGTTGATGATGTTGATGTTGTTGTTGTTTTTGTTTTTGTTGTTGTTGATGTTGTTTGAGGCGGGAACATAAATCCTGCCTGTGTTTCTTCCTGTGCAGCCGGCGCCCCCTGCTGTTGACTCTGGACTCTCAGCAGAACAGAACCAGCAGATGGACCATCCTGCAGGTCCAGTTTCTAATGTTCCACTGTAACATGTATAAAAGCTGCCTGTAAACCTGGTCCAGGACCGGTTGAGTCTGACCTGTGGGTTCTGGTCCTGCAGGCGGGACTCCACGGAGACAGACGGTGACGGTCCAGCGTCCTGCAGAGCCCAGCTTCACTCAGCAGTTTGTTCGTCCTCAGCAGCTGCTGGAGGGGAAGGTGAAGGTCCGCAGGTCCAACAGAACCAGAGCATCAGCAGACATGAAGCTGACCTTTGTTTGTCTGTTTGTTTGTTTGTTTGTTTGTTTGTTTGTTTGTTTGTTTGTTTGTTTGTTTGTTTGTTTGTTTGTTTGTTTGTGTCCTGCAGGATGCTGAGGCCATCTATCAGTGGCTCAGTGACTTCCAGCTGCAGCACTACACCACAAACTTTGTCACCGCTGGATATGATGTCCCCACCATCAGCAGGATGACCCCTGAGGTGAGGAGAACCTGAGCCTGACCCAGGTCCAGGTCCAGGTTTTCCTCTGGAATTGGTTCTGACCCATGTCTCTGCAGGACCTGACGGCCATCGGGGTAACCAAACCAGGACACCGTAAGAAGATCTCCATGGAGATCAACAACYTGAACATCCCTGAGTGGCTGCCGGACTTCATCCCTGTAAGACTCTGGATCATGTCTTTACTGACCTGAGGTTCTGGTTCTGACCYGTGTGTCCTCCTCCTCCAGTCGGACCTTGTGGAGTGGCTCAGTACCATCGGTCTGCCTCAGTACCATAAGAAGCTCTCTGAGAACGGCTACGACTCCATCAGCATCGTCAAAGACCTGACCTGGGAGGACCTGCAGGAAATCGGKATCATCAAGCTGGGTAAGACCGGACCCAGGTAGGACCTCTGGACTGTGCTTCTGGGTTCTGATGGGTTCATGTCCCTGTAGGTCACCAGAAGAAGCTGATGTTGGCTGTGAAGAAGCTGTGCGATGTCCAGAAGGCGGCCCTCCAGGCAGACCCGGGTCAGGGCACCCTGCGGCGTAAAGCTCCCAGAGGACTCCACCTGGTCTCCATGGAGACCTCGGACCCCAGCAGCGAGTGTTCCTCGCCCCGCTCCCCGATGATGGTCACCTTCCAGGACAGCGAGCTGAGCGCCGAGCTGCAGAGCGCCATGTCCAGCAGCTACGGAGGCTGTGATGTYCTGGTCCAGAGCCAGGACATCATGGACCTACGGTCCCGAGGTTCTGGACGTCCCCAGGAACCTCCTACTGCTTCCATCAACCCCCAAACCTGGTCCCAGGAGACCCTGGAAGGCCAAGCCAGGAACCTTCCTGAGGGCTGGGACCAGAGACCTCTGCCGCATCAGCCGCTCCCCAAACAGGTTCCTCTGGGAACCGCGACCGTCTTCAAGTACCCCACCATCCCAGCCAAGCCCAAACTGTCTGGGTCTCATGGCTCCTCCCCCCGTGGCTCCTCCCCCCGTGGCTCCTCCCCCCGTGGCTCCCCGGCACTGAAGGGCTTCAGCTACCTGCATTCTCAGTGTGGATCCTCCGACCTGAGCTCCTCCCGCAGACCTCAGGACCACAACAGGTCTCTGACCCCRCCCAACAGGCGCACCCAGAACGCGACCCGCTACGCCCTGTCAGACGGAGAACCGGACGATGACGACGAGGACCTCGCAGGTCCTCCTAGAGACATTCCATCCTACGCCACGTTGACCCGCAAGCCCGGCCGCAGCCACCTGGCCCGGTTCCAGTCCGGTCCTGAGAAGAACGGCCTCGTGGGGCGCAGCCAGTCSTTTGCGGTGCGCTCCCGTAAGAAGGGCCCCCCTCCCCCGCCCCCCAAGAGGCTGAGCTCAGTGAGCAGCACCACCAGCGGGGAGCTGAGTGACAGCAGCCCCTCCTCCTCCGGCGGCGGCGGCGTGGTGACCGACAGTCCAGGAAGCGTCAGGAGCATCGCCGCCTCTCTGGAGGGCGGCTCAGACCCCAGGGTCCCCCCAGGACCCCCCAAACAGGACTCACCAAAAACCCAGAGCTCCACAGAGACCAGGGAGGCTGCCGGGGCCAGGAGGAAGGTCCAGAGCCAATGTGTCTCCAGTCCAGAAAGCAGCAGCTCAGAACTGGACCCAGGACCTAAGTCTGACTCTGAAGAAGAGGGAAAAGACCAGAGACACCTGGGGGGTGCCACGTCCCCCCAGAACAGCTCCAGCGAGTGYATCCCCTTTGCCGAGGAGGGCAACCTGACCATTAAACAGAGACCCAAAGCCCCGGGTCCACCCCGGGCCGAGGCGGTCCTGGAGCCCCCTGATAGACCACCAGCTGCCTCTCTGGAGGTCCCCGAGTTCAACCTGAAGGAGTCCGACACGGTAAAACGACGCCACAAACCCAAAGACCAGGACCAGGACTCCCCCAGCAGAGCAGGACCAGAGTCCACAGGGTCTGAGTCTGATGGCAGCAGACCTCCATCCAGAAACCAGGAGCAGACCAGTCTGGAAAGACCAGACAGTCCAGCTAGAGGGTCCCCGACTAAACCTCAGCTCTCACCAAAACCTGCTGTCACCCCGAAACCGGTCCGCCAGAGTCTGCTAGCCTCCCACAGTGAGTCCTGAGGGCCTGGGTGGTCCAGTCAAGTCTTCCCTACCCCCCAAAAAAACAGTTCTCTTAAAACCAGCAGGTTTGGGGTTGATTTGGACCAGTTCTGGTCTACTCACCTTCAAGGGTTTATTTACTTCAGGAACAGGACTAAAGAAGACTCTGAGCCTCTGGTTTATAGAAGTTGGTATTTAGACCTGGTTCTAATCCAGGTTTTAACTCTTGGTGCAGTGAGGACCAAAACTAAGACTGTTGTACAACCAGGAGTCGCTACATCTGTTCCTAAAGCAGCTGATCTGATTAATGACAGGCTGGTACTGTTCACTGAGAGGATTTCTGTTAGCATCAGAGAGGCTAGCTACTAGCATGGATAAGCTGGTGTTAGCATCAGAGAGGCTAGCTACTAGCATGTGACATGTTGGGGCCTATCATTAATCAGATCAGTAGCAGGTGAGGAACAGTTTTAACCTCCTGCTACAAAAGTAACAACCAGTGGTTGAGCAATAGTCTTAGTTTTGTCCCTCACACTCTGCCATACCACCATATTAACTGGTTCTTTAATCAGGTCCAGTCCACACACTGAGCACCTGAACACACCAGACTTCCTGGTTCTGGTCCTGGTTAGGACTCTGTTTTAGTTGTTGGTCTTGATGGGGTTTTAGACTTTAGACCTTTGATCCAGTAGTCCTGGTTGGACCTGGTGGTCTTAGTTTGGACCTGATGGTTTTATTTGTAACTTACTGGACCTGGTGGTCTTGCCAGGTTTCTGGGGTCTTGTTATAGACCTGAATGGACTCCTGATTGTCTTTAAGCTGTTCTGATGTGTCTTGTCTCCAGCAGGACCCTCCTCTCCGATGGTGACCATCAGCGGGGTCCAGAGTGTGACCTTCATGTCCCCCTCCTCCTCCCCTGCCCACGGACCCCCAGGCCTGGCTCCTCAGACCCACCAGAGTCCCTCTTTGGCTGCAAAGAACAATCAGGGCTGTCTGGTAGGTCCAGGTCCTGGTCCTGTCCCCATGTCCTCCGGTGAGACTAAGGTGGTTCAGCAGAGACTGGATCAGACCAGCACGTCTCTGGCTGCAGCTCTGAAGGCCGTGGAGAAAAAACTGAACCAGGATCAAAGTCCTGACAGGTGATCAGAACCACGAGTTGTTTTAAAACACAGAATCTGTTGAAGGAAGACCTGATCCTGATCCTGATCCTGATCCTGATCCTGTGTCTCCGCAGGTCCAGGACCTCGGTTAGGTCTGCAGGGACCATCCTGGATGACATCGGGAACATGTTTGATGACCTCGCCGACCAGCTGGACGCCATGTTGGATTAAAAACACCTGATCCTGGTCCTGATCCTGGTCCTGGTCCTGGTCTCAGGGAGTGAGACACAGACAGACTGTCTTCACTTCACCTCCAAGGTGCTTCCAGGACAAGACCCACAAACCAGCAGGACCAGTAGAACCGGACCTACAAACCAGCAGGACCAGTAGAACCGGACCTACAAACCAGCAGGACCAGTAGAACCGGACCCACAAACCAGCAGGACCAGTAGAACCGGACCCACAAACCAGCAGGACCAGTAGAACCAGACCCACAAACCAGCAGAACCAGTAGAACCGGACCACAGACCAGCAGGACCAGTAGAACCAGACCCACAAACCAGCAGAACCAGTAGAACCGGACCCACAAACTAGCAGGACCAGTAGAACCGGACCACAGACCAGCAGAACCAGTAGAACCGGACCCACAAACCAGCAGGACCAGTAGAACCGGACCACAGACCAGCAGGACCAGTAGAACCAGACCCACAAACTAGCAGAACCAGTAGAACCGGACCCACAAACCAGCAGGACCAGTAGAACCGGACCACAGACCAGCAGGACCAGTAGAACCGGACC